TACAAACCTCTCCTCAGCCTCCTTGCATTTTATTGCTACATATTCCATCATCTCATTAACTGGTTTCCCTGCCAGTTCTCTGTCCCACTGAACCCCGTTCAGGTAGTTCCTCATTCCTGTGTAGTCCCCTTTCTTTGTAGTTTGGCTTCATTCGTCCTGGCCTTCCTGCTTCTCCCTCCACTTGTAGCTCTACTGTGTATTCGAAGCTTACAACCACATGGTCACTGGCCCCAAGGGGTCTTTCATATGTGATGTCCTCGATATCTGCACTACTGAAGGTGAATACTAAGTCCAGCCTTGCTGGTTCATCCTCTCCTCTCTCTCTTGTAGTGTCCCTTACGTGTTGGTACATGAAAGTTCTCCAGTACCACCTCCATCATCTTAGCCCTCCAAGTATCTTGGCCCCCATGTGGGTCCAAGTTCTTCCCAATCTATCTCCTTGTGGTTAAAGTCACCCATGATCAGGAGCTTTGCCCTGCATGCATGAGCTCTTCTGGCCACTCTAGCCAGTGTGTCAACCATCGCTCCTATTGCTCTCGTCGTACTCTTGCCTTGGCCTCCTGCTGTTCTGTGGTGGGTTATACATCACTGCTATTACCACCTTGGGACCTCCAGAGTGAAGTGTTCCACTATGTAATCACTTTCTTCTCCGCTATCTTCTCTCTCCAGCTCATCAAAATTCCAGCGATTTTTGATCAGCAACGCCACTCCTCCACCCCCCCCTGTTCCCTCTGTCTTTCCTCAGGATTTGGTATCCCGTTGGAAAGATGGCAATCTGTTATCATACCTGTAAGCTTGGTTTCTGTGAGAGCTATGATGTCCGGTGATGCTTCTTTGACTCTTTCTTGCCACTCCTCCCACTTATTTGTTATTCCATCAGCGTTTGTGTACCATACCTTCAGTTTCCTTTCCAACACTGTGGTTTGGGGGGCCTGTGAGGGTGGGAGACCTGGTGGCATACTGTGGGGTTCTATAGCTTGGTGTTGGTGGAGGCTGTGGGTATGGATTGTAGGGTGTGTTGGATGGTGTGATAGGTTGTGTGGTTCTGAGAGTAGTTGTGTGTGTGCTTGCCCTTGCTGTTCTGTCCTGCTCTGACTGACCTCTGCTGGTTCCCTCCTTGTCTCTTTTCCTAGCTCCTTTCGCTTTTTGTCCTCTCCCTCAGCTGCTGTCGTTCTGATTTTGTTCTGTCTCTGTCTAGGAACACCCTCTTGTACTCTTCCGAGTATTTCAATCGTGGTTTCTCTTGGAGGATCCTGTTCCGCACTGTTTCCGTCCTGAGAATCAGCTTGATTGGTCGGTTTCTCACCTTCGAGTACCCCCCTATTCTCTGAAAATTTACAATCTCGTCCCTCTCTTCACCTATTTCTGTTATGATTTTCTCAATCTCCTTCCTTTCTTCCTGTGTGTGTGTGTGTGTGTGTGTGTGTGTGTGCGTGTGTGTGTGTGTGTGTGTGTGTGTGTGTGTGTGAGTGTGTGTGTGTGTGTGTGTGTGTGTGTGTGTATATGTGTGTGTGTTTGTTTGTGTGTGTTGTGTGTGTGTGTGTGTGTGTGTGTGTGTGTGTGTGTTGTGTGTGTGTGCGTGTGTGTGTGTGCGTGTCTGCGTGTGTACTCAGTGGTAGCTTTGCGGCTCATTTCACACACATTGACCACCCTAAGGTTGAAGATGTATTTCACGAAGTTCTTGTGGCTCGCCTGAGTCTTTTTAACTTCCATCTATTCCTCCTTGTTTTCTCCCGCTTCGTCTGCCATTCAAACAGTCTATCTTTGTCAGACGCTTTTATAATGTTCAATCCTAGGTCTACCCCTTCAATTCTGGGACCATTCTCATTACAAACCTTTTATTTTCTGTGAATGCTAAAGGCTGACGCTGTATATTCCTTGACAGTTTGCACATATACTGTATTTAGAGACCTGACTGAGCCCTGTTCAGGCTTGTAAGTACAGTTCTTAGGTTTGCGACGTACACAACTGACCCCTTGTTAAGGCTTGTAAATACAGTTTTTTTGGTTTGCGATATACACAACCGAGGCTTGCGTTGTATGGTTGAAGCCCACCTTCAGCGATATTCTAGGTACTTACTAAACTTAACTCGGTCTATACTCTGTTTCGGAAATCCTTTCTCTTAGAGTTGAATTGCATCAGTCATTTATCTGACCATCTCTATCGCGTGTGTAATGTGGGCAATCACACTTTGTACTTTCATAATGTGAGCTTGTGTAATGCAAGCGTAATTTATATAATAAGTGCTTGCATAATGTGTACAATGTATTTCTCATCCACTTTGCCTTTGTATATACGAAAAGCTTAATTTCTATCCTTTCACAAACAACCAGCTGCGGGAATACAATCTCTACCACAACTCATGTCATATGCAGATTCAGGAGCCGTCAAACTAACTTTCTAGCGACCAGTACCCGAGGCAACATATAGCTGGATGTAACGAAGTAAATAAGGAGCAGGTGCACTGTAATTACTCCTCTCACCTCACCTGATTACAGTAGCAAGAAAATTGTTTATTAAACCAAAATAAAGACTAGCCTTAATTGCTGATGTTATTTGTGTATTTTTCCAGTCAAGGTATTGTGCCTTTTCATTCTTTATCTCGACCTATTTCAAAGGAGCATGTAATTTGATGAGCATATCAATCATGACGTGTATGCACTTTGATCAACAGTGCATGTACACTTGGAGGAATGTTATTACCAGTACATATACACTTAGTGCTAACTTCAGTCTCCTTAGCCCAAATATTTGACAAAAGTATCCTTTACTGGTGAAGAACAAGTGACATGCAGGCTTAATGACCCTCATGTGTCGATACGTTTTAAGCTCCATTAAACAATCATCTACGCAATTTCGCTTTATCATTGGATGAGCTTATCACTCTCGATGCGTATGCATCACAACTTTGTGTTTACATAATTTGGGATTAAACCTAACAGGTTACATACAGCTTTAATTGATGACCCTGTCTGGTTGAGAAACTTTAAGCCTAAACAACCAACACAAGAATATGTAACTTTGTGGTGTATGTAACTCAGTGAATATATACTAAGAGTTTACGTTAATGTCTTTTTTAGGCATTTAATGTATTCTTGGCCTGAGGTGAACTGTTTACATTTATGCTTAATGATTCTCATGTAGTCGAGAAGATTTAAACCCATTTAAGCAACCATAGCATACATACGCCATATTTACTGCTAGGAGAGGAGCAACATAAAGAACTGAAGGGCCCAGGATCGAACCTGGGCCCTTCGGTAATAAGCAAAAGATACTACCACCGAGTTAAGAATTATGAAGTATGATTTTCATGTTCTCTGATAATTTTAAAAATTTTTGTTGTCAGGTCTCTGATAAGAAATTATATTATTGCTAAACATTTTGATTCCCTCCTATCCTACGACTTAAACATTGACTTACACTTCTTGACACTCTCTGAACAGACACTGTTCAGTCACTCTGTCTGACTTTTTTTTGGGGTTATCCTACGTTCTCTACACATATGCTGCTATGTATGATTATCTATGTAGCTATATTTGTGTATACCTGAATAAACTTACTTATTTCGCTAGTCACTGTTCTACCAAATACTGTTCGGTCAAACTCTGTTGAGCCAGGCACTGTTCCGGCAGGCACTCTGAAACCAGACATTGTTCCTCAAGACCCCATTCTCTAAGTAAAGTCCAATAATTTGTCTCCAAAACTTAGAGATTAGTATGTCTTCATGTCATGGCTGGGAACTCAGAGAGTCCCCAGCCATGAGATGATGGAGTAGAGGGGTCAAAAATCGTTTGATCCTTAAAAACATTATGATAAAATTAGTTGTGGTGACTGGGGCAGCAAATCGATAACTGAACTTAAACACATGTGATGCAGAGGAAAAAAACTATTTTAAACGACGTTTCGCTCGGGAGGGAATTTTATACGCTTTTATTAATGATCGATGACGTGGCCCATATAACATGTGTTTTGGAAATGATTCGGAGGCATCATGTGTCAGTAGTTGGACAAAAAGCATATGTGAGTTGAGGCCTAATCGAACCTCAACTCTTATATGCAGGACATAAATCGATAAATCCGCGTGGTTTATTCAGCAAGTAGAGACTGGCATTAGGCCTCTCATCCGAGGTTCTTTTGTTGAAACACGTGATAATATTGGCCTTCAGAACGTAGTGTTAGTGTGCCAAGCCTCTTGGCTCACATGTTAATAATGATCACTCCCGTACAATTAATTTTCCTGCAGTATGGTTACATTTTACACAAAATGTGCGATAAGTTACGCATGTGTTACGCCACTAACGTGGGGATGACGGTTCTTACATAGTCTTCCAGCCTTGACACGTCTGTTACCAGTCATGTTGGGCTGAGTGAAGAAAATCTTCTTACGATAACACGTGGGAGAAAATCATTTGTAAACTCACCCCTCATGTTTGAGTTATCTGATCTGATTTTTCCGACGAATCTGTTTTTAAAAAGTTTGATTCTTCCATTTAGTATGCATTAATTTTGTTCCAAAATATAGTTGATTTGTTTCGCTTCCCTTAGCTTTAATGTATTTTTATTTTGAAACCCATTTGTCTTTACTTTTGTCTTCATTTCTTGTTGAAGAAATATTATATGTCAATGAGATTCGATCTCTTAATAAAAGGAAGTTTGCATGTCTATCAAGAATGCAGCCGTATATATATATTATATATATATATATATATGTATATTATATATATATTTATATATATATATATATATATATATATAATAGTATATATATATATATATATATATATATATATATATATATATATATATATATATATATATATAATATATATATATAATATATATATATATATATACACTAAAGCTATTTGTTTTTGAATCTAAACCATCCCGGATCCTTAACCTTCCCTTTTTCTCTTGTCTCTCCCTCTTACCTCCTATCCATTACTTGGGATCAGGTCCCAAACCCACCAAAATTCCCCCCCATCCCCACCATCCCCTATTCCCTCGCCTCCCCTTCCTTTCACTTTCACTGAGAAGCATGGGTATATGACGGACTGTAGGTGCTCTGGAGTCACCAGTTCACTCTAACTATTCCCGAGCGACGCACTTCCACAACCTCCTCTCATCAGCCCTTCCAACACCTCGGCTACAACGTCCATACCCTCAGCATCCTCTGTAAATCAACCTTAAACACCTTCAGTACCTTTATCGTCTCACGATGCCTGGAGTGCCTGCCGAAGTCTCCACGATGTTCTCGGACTTTTCCAGTAGTGTGGACCTCTTCAAAGGACAACTGAAGGCGGCGTTCACGTCACTGGACCTGACCACAGTAGCGGCGATCCTGTTGGTGTTCGCTGGTGCTATCCTGCTTTATGACCTCCTGGTGTACTTCCTGGCCTCTGCCTCCACCAGGAGGTCTCTCATGATGACTCCCATCCTCGCCCAGCTCGCCACTAGCGCCTGGGACAAGAGGGATGAACTTGGCTTCTCCAACATGATTGAGTCGAGGTGAGTAGACCAGGGATTGAGATGTATCGGTATATATTCCCTTCAAGAGAGTTGCCTGGTTGCTGGTGAAGGGCTTTTGCTTTGAGTAATTTCAGCTACCCTCCCCTTCCTCGAATCAAACATGATTATCCCTGCCCCAGTACTGTATGATCCTTAAGTACTTAGGAATCTTCCATGTATATACTAATAATAATAATAAATAAATAATAATAATAATTAGCAATAATAATCGTAGAAAATTCACGAACAAATTCGTGAACAAGTGGGTGATAACCTCACCAAGAATCTGAAATTTAAGATGCATATTATCATCATCACAGAGAAGCACTAACCTTGTAAATATCCCAGAACATTTATTAAAACTATCAAATTAGAAAATAATAACAACTGTAAGCCAAAGTTAAACAATTAGTATTGTCAGTTTGGCGTCTTGAGTTGTTGAAGCCTGGCTGCGAGAGTATTTTCCACCTGGCGATTAGCGAACGGAGGATCGAACCTTCAACACTGCTGGTTCTGATGACCTACACGGGTTTAGCCCTTCATATGACTATAACAATACTAATACTACTACTGCTACTGCTATTACTACTACTACTACTACTACTACTACTACTACTACTACTACTACTACTACTACTAATAATAATAATAATAATAATAATAATAATAATAATAATAATATAAATAAATGCTCGCCATTTGCAAATGCATTTTCTTATGATCCTCAGGTCCTTTGAGACGCTCTCACCCATCCTGGAAGTGTTCCTCCAAGCCATGGAGAAATACGACACACCTGAGGAGAAGCAACGCTAGTGCTCACGAGACATCCTGGAGCCATCTCAAAGAGGTGAATTCCCTTCAACTCACCAATTCACCACCGTATGGAGACGGAGGATCGAGCCTCCTTTCACTCATTGAGCTGACTGACCTCAAATCGGTTTAGCTCATGAAAATAATCATTAAATAGTTTGTTGATTTGGGAAGATCAGAAGAACTTTCATACGAAAGGCTCTTGATGACGTGTCTGTTATCCGCCGAGGTGTCAGGGTTCCCGTAACGTTGTCCAGACGCTGGAAAGATGAAAGCCACGTCTTGGGCGCTGTTACGTGGCTTTAGTTTGTGAGGCTGAAAAATCAAAGCAACAATGAAGACAAAGAACGAGTTACATAAACTTTTATTAGTGCAACGTTTCGCTCTGTACAGACTTTTATCAAGCTCCACACAGAACAAAACGTTGTCTCTGTAAAAGCTTGTTCTGCAAAATGTGTATTTTTCATAATTCCTGTTGGCATTCCTGTCCCTCAATGTATTCACCTGTCCTCTAAATTGCTCAAAATATTACTAAGCAAATTTCAGCAAATAATGTGCCCATTCGTTTAACAATGATTTACCTCACGGCTTTCATGTGTTTCAGGAAGCCGGTTCAAGCTATAGGAATATATTTCACAGGGATGACTGGCATCCACGCAGGCGGAGGATGACCTGAGAGTCTTCTGTGATAATAATTGTTTTCTTTGTGTCCTCTTCACTACATTTCTTCTGTCTGTCTCTTCATTGTCTCAGATAATTTTATGTGACCTTGAGCTCAAGTTTCTTGCGGTCATTATCTAAGGTGAATAATTTTTAACTTGTATTTATATATTGTTAAATAAATATAATGAAAGCTTGGAGATTACTTTTAATATTTCACATTTGTGCTATATAATTTCGTATCATAAATACAATACATCTGAGTTTAAAAACTGATTAAATAACTGAGAAAAAATTAGTCACGGGACAAAGGGAAAGAAAAAATAGTAATACCTCTTAATACCTTTAAATGACAGCTACTAAGAAAAATCCTCGACCATTTCTTTACAAACATCTAACGAAAGATAATATGTACTTCTCTGAAATAAACTTTATATTCGAGGAAGATTCTCATAAATTAGTTTACATGATTGGTAAGTACCCGTTTACATGATTGGTAAGTACAGTACTCGTTCCATGGTAAGGGGCGGAGGAGCCTCTCATGGCGAGAGGTTTCCAAGGGGCAGTGCGCGAGAGACCGACCAGCAGACAGCGAGGCCATCACAAACCAGCCACGATTTCTGTCTCTTCGCAACCAGAAAACTCATTCACATGGCAAGGGCTCCTGTACTTCTGCTTCTAAACATAAAAACAAAGGAGGACACCAATAGACTTACTGGTCGGTGGTGAGAGGCAGATCCTACTTATCACTCAATCTTCTCCACTGATGTATAGTATATATTTAGCTACTCTTAAGACTACTCAATGTGTTTGCTTCAATAACGTTAATTGGTAGTTTGTTCCACCTCTCTACCACTCTATTGCCAATACCTATATTTTTTCTAATCCTAATTTGTTCATTTTGATCACATTATTGCGAATTTTCCTTTCTTTACATTTTTTCAGCACCTTTCTGTAAGCATATAGCTTTATTCATATTGGTATTCCTTTGTAAAATTCGTCTATAAGTTTCCTGAATCAGGGGATTAAATTGTCATATACTGTACTCTTGTACGTTAATCAGCTCATTCATGTCTATTCAGTACTATGCTTACCAGGGTGGGAAGAAAGTCTAAATGAGGCTTTTCCAACTTGAGATAGAGCTCTAGCATAATCTAGGATCTTCTATTAATTATACTTCTGCCAAAATTCTTTCAAACACCTATGCATTGTTGCCAGAACTTCCGATTTCTACTAAATAAAACACCGGAGTCTCGTTTGCTTCCGGTTGTTTTCTTTACTCAAGACTAGAACAATACTCTGACCCTCACTAAACTGGTTCTGCTTTTGCTACGACCATAGCATCAACCTGGGTAACATAAATAATATTTATATTAGAGCATGCCTTCATTAAACAACGTTTCGCTCAAAAAAATGAACATGCTTAGAAATGATCTGCAAAACTTTCCCTTTGAGCAAAACGTTGTATAATAAGGGGTTGACCTGCTATAAATATCCTTATATTACCCTCTCTGTTGACACATCAGACATGGCCCGATCCAACAGGAGAACTTCTCCTAAGCTATGTGCTGCCGTTTGCTTTATGTATCTTAGTTTATCAAAGACATGACTATGTATCAAAGGCATTGTGTGATAGTTTATCAAAGGCATTACAAAAGTCCATGTAAACAGCGAGCACTTTTATCATTGTCTACAAGTTTAAATGCCTTAGTGGAAAAAAAAGTCAATGCATTTGTTAATTATGTGATTATTATTATTATTATTATTATTATTATTATTATTATTATTATTATTATTATTATTATTATTATTAATAATATTATTGCATATTATATGATTATTATTGTTACTGATATTGTCGTTATTGTTATTGATATAACTAATATTGGTATTGTTATTGATATTATTATTACTGTTATTATTATTATTATTATTATTATTATTAATTTCTATTATTTTATTTGCATCATTTTAGGTCAGTGGTTTAAAAACGACAAGAAAATAAACAGGGCAAAAGAGCAACACTTAGATATCTGATCGACACCATGCCTAACCCTTCTAGGGTAGGGTAGGTGCCTGAGCCCGAGCTTGCAGCTCACAAGCCTGTCAGTCCCATTAGGCCCCTTGGGGCGGGGATGGCAGACCAGAGAGGCCTAGCTTGTGGCTAGGCCTGGGGACAGTTGGTCCCAAAGATGAGGAGGTACTTGTGCCTCCTCCCATGGGAGACTTAGGTCTCAGACACTCCCTAAAGAGGGAGCCAAGGCCGGGCCACCACTTGGAAAAGGCCCGAGCCGGGAGAATACCGGCGAATCTTTAATAATAAAATATTAATTAGATATCTTCAAGATACCCAAATGATGCACATGTATCTTATCCATCAAGTTGCATCATCCTTTGTGAGAACACTCGGGAAATATTTATATATAAGTGTATAACTGTGTGTGTGTTTTAGTTCTAGAGGAGTTATAGGTGAGTCACGTCACCCACGACATGTTTTCTGATGGGAAAAAATCCATTCGAATACATTACGATATATTCGTCGTCACGACACATTGTTACGTAATTTAATTTGCAACTTTATGTTAGGTATGAAGTAACGGTGAGAGAGAGAGAGAGAGAGAGAGAGAGAGAGAGAGAGAGAGAGAGAGAGAGAGAGAGAGAGAGAGAGAGAGAGAGAGAGAGAGAGTGCTATTCACACTTGGTTGCAGGGGTCGATTCACAGCTCCTGGCCCAGTGTGTGTGTGTGTAATTATTTATGAACCTTGTAAGTAGAGGAGGGGGTGAGCTTTCTCTCACATCTTTATTTATTTATCTTTACTGACTTCTGTTTACAGGGGTTGAGTCTCAGCTCCTGGTCCCTCCTCTTAAACAATGCTTGACAACCGTTATATTTTCATGGCCTCATGTGCTCCATTATATTTAAATAATTTACAAAATAATACTGCCCAAATGACAATAATTCTTGCAATCATGCTTTGCTGGATTTATCAGGGGTAAAATATTATACCTTTTCATTCATGTATGTCTATAATCATACGTGTTTTTTTTCTCAGTGAGATTTATGAAATGAATATTGGGAAAAAAAGGATGGGAGAGAATGTGATAAATCTAAGAGATAGGAAAATGGGAGGAGGAGAGAGAGAGGGTAAAGATGGAAGGAGAGAGTGAGATGATTAGGAAGGAGAATTTGGAAGGAGAAAGGAATAATGTGAGGGTTATTAAGAAGGGAGTATTAGAGTGAGAATTAGGAAGAAGGGAGGCAGAAACTGAGTATTAGGAAGGAGGGAGGGATTAAGGATTATAGAACAAGAAGAGGTGGAATAGGTGGGAAATAAAAAGCTAGTAAGGGCTAGAAGGAAAGGAGAATGAGAGTTTGGGATAAGAAGGAGAGGGGAAGATTGTGGGATAAGGATAGGGGAAGAGTGTGATGGTTTTGAGAAGAGAGAACGAGAGTGAAGATTTTAACTGAGGTCGAGGTAACTGTGCGAGAATGACTTGAAGGTGACTTGTCTGCTCATAAATATTACTACGACCTTCATACATGGCCGGTCAACCGCAGGACAACCAAGGAAGAGCAGTAAATGTATTTGGTTCTGACGACATAACTACAACACTGTACAAGAGAAATTACTCTTGGGAATTATAAGTAAATTTAGCTTTCTACTGTACACGAATGTTTTAGTGCAATGTAGGCAATTTCCACACTTAAAATTGAATACAATTGCCTTGTTTTTCAAGAAGGAAGTGAAAGCCTATGATTTCAGATAGATATAACCAGGTAGAGGCCTACCTGGTGGAGGCAGCCAATTAGCTAGGCCTTTCCTGTACTACTCGCCAGGGAAACGAGGGAGTAGGCCTCTCCTGGATTGTATCATTGAGTTTTAGTGGGTCAAGCCCGGGAAGAGCAGAGGATCATGTACACTGAGGTAGACGAATATATTGTACACGTACTGTACATGTGCTCAGCATAGATGGATTGGCACTCGAAACAAACAATCATCATTATTAATGTGTATCATAGTACAGCCACATGAAGCCCCAAATGCTGCATTATGCACACACTCAGCACCACAACTAAACACACACACACACAAACACACGCACACACACACAAACACACACACACAAACACACACGCACACACAGGATGTTTCAGAGATGGGACACAGCAACAATGGGTCATAATTGGAAGTTGAAGACTCAGATGAGTCACAGGGATGTTAAGAAGTATTTTTTCAGACACACAGTTGTCAGGAAGTAGAACAGTCTGGAGAGAGATGTGGTGGAAGGAGGATCCACATATATATTTAAGAAGAGGTATGATAAAGCTCGTTGAGCAGGGAGAGAGTGGACCTAGTAGCGATCAGTGAAGAGGCGGGGCCAGGAGCTATGATTCGACCCCTGCAATCATAAATAGATAAGTACACACACACACATACACACACACCCACCTCGTCAGGAAAGTGTCTCCTAACATACATTTTTCTCAGATAATAAGTCTCAGATGGCATCAGGGGTTAAGTTAAGCACCTGCTGGATTACCAATGCTATGTACTCGCAATTAATTAAGTACCTCCTGGAGTACGAGTGCTATGTACTCGCAGTTAATTAAGTACCTCTTGGAGTACGAGTGCTATGTACTCGCAGTTAATTAAGCGCCTGAAGAAGATGAACCCTGATGTTAGTCAAGGGTTTCTGATTCATCGAATTGGAGCAACCATCCTCTTTCTCGGATCAAACCTGGTTACATCCTTACGGATTTATCTCTTCCCTTTAATAATACAGTAAGTATAATCTTTTCATATTCACGCAGGAGATGGCAAAGTATCATGACCAGTTAATTTAATGAGAAATCATATGTAATCAGGTTTGGTCCAGGTAAGGAGACCGCCAGATCCTTAATCAAGAGCCTTGCACCATCATCTAAACACCTCCTTTGAAGCTGATAAAATCTCGTAAAGCCTATCAAACAAAATTTCTGTCTGCTATTGTTTCTATACAGACTATTGAAAGAAACAGTAGGTTCTACAGACTAAGGTTAATTTATTCATGAACTCATAAAATAAACTCTAATATTAATCAGAAAAAAGAAATTCAAAATCAAGATTTTATTTATTTAAGATATATGTATATATTCACTTTGCTGTCCTGTGTAGGGAATGTTAGGAGAAAAAAAAATTTGTGATATGAAATGTGTATTTATTTACAATATGGCACGTGCAGTGATCATATATACAAGAACAGCTATTTTATACGAAACTCTAGCTAAGTAGATATATTTAATTTTGATTTTTTTGTTATTTAGTAAAACAATAAATAAACAATACACAGGCACACAATGGAGGCGTTAAATCTTTAGAGAACAAAGTTCCTTCGATATACTCAACCTTAAAGAATAATTTACAAAGTAAATATTTCCTTATAAGTCTATGGTTTACATGACACATTACACCTCTATCTTTATTTACATTGTACTGATTTCGTGAATTTAGTACAAAATTTCAGTTGTGGAGGTTAGATTGCCAAGAGTTGATAAAATTTATGTAAGAGAATGTCGTGAATAACATTGGTTGTGAGGTAATACAAAAAAATTGCAGAGAAAATCTTCCACGTTGTCAATAATTTTGTAGGTTTGTGACGGTGCAACCTACCTTCCTTCTAGCTGAAAGTCTGAAGCTGCAACCTAACTTCTTCCTGGAATCCTGAAGCAACAACCTACCTTCCTTCTAGCTGAAAGTCTGAAGCTGCAACCTAACTTCTTCCTGGAAACCTGAAGCAGCAACCTACCTGCCTTCTTGCTGGAATCATGAATTTACAACCTGCCTTCTTGCTGGAAGCCTGAAACTGCATCCTGCCTTCCTTCTTGTTGGAAGTCTGAAGCTGCGACCTACCTACCTTCCTTCTTGCTGGAAGTCTGAAGCTGCGACCTACCTACCTTCCTTCTTGCTGGAAGTCTGAAGCTGCAACCTAACTTCTTCTGGAAGCCTGAAGCAGCAACCTACCTTTTTTCTTCCTGGAAGCCTTGTGAGGGACTGTTTAATACTAGTTTTCTGTACAGCTTAAAAGACTAAGCAATAACACCTCCGTCACCAAACATGATTCTTTTCATTGCCTTCTAATTCTGCAGTAATTAATTATTTTGTGGCCGACGAATTTAGTAACACCCTATTTTTTTAGGGGGGGGGTGAAGGATGTGAAAATTTAAGCAAATATTACGAAATTGGCAAGACCTAGCTGTGAACGGGGAGCTATCTTACCCACTCCACCATCTTTTGGGCGACATTTAATCATTGTTATGATCATGAGGGTGCACAATGCCCATACAGGTTACACAGGACTAAATTATGTATTCCTATATTCTTAATAAGTCCTTTGTGTTAAGAGCTTTTGGTAGCTATTACCAAAAGCAAAACCCAAAGTAGCTTTCAGATAATATAAAAAAAAGAGATCTCTGTACACGGAAGCAATAAATATTTTTGATACCTGGGAATTCTGTATAATCTGATCTGACCATGATCTTTATTTTTATGTATTAGTTTGTTTTAAAATTTCTTCGTAATTCTTTAATTTCTTTCGCTTGATTTAGATGAGATTTTAACCAAGACAAGAAGCTCAGTAATTTCTAACTCTTCAGGTTGTTCTCAAGAACACAGCTGTAGTCTAGCTGTAGACGACTTCGGGGTAGTTGTCTTGTACAATACCTAGAAGTCTTTGGAGTGATGCCCTGACGGGAACAGGGGGCATGGTGCAGGCTGGGTAGTGGGTATCGCAGGAGGTCGCCGCCTCCCCTTGCTGCGCCGCCTTCAGGTACGCATCCAAGTCATCACTATTCTCAGGTCCCGTCGCTAAGCTCGACCTGTAAGACAAGAGTTCATAAGAATTTTTCTCTCGGGCTCTTATGTTAGATTTAAGATCTATCGACTGCATGTTGGTCTCTAGTGCCGCATTTTACAGTAACATTGTGACTCCTGTTTTTCCTAAAACAGAGAATAAAATAAACTCTCTGTGTATAAGTGCATATACTCTGAACGTCATTAAGGCTGTATTACCAGTAGACGTTAATAAATAGGACACTTTAATCGTAGGAAAGGGAATCTATATATATTGAGACTTAGCTGCTAAATTTCTTTTGCAAAAGTTCTAAACTTTACTTTATAAGTTACGATCTGTCATCTACTTCAGGTCCTATCATAGTTGATATCTTGCTAAAGTCTTCATAAAACAATAATCTGACGCACCTGACAAGAGCAGCGTAGGCTTGGGTGACCTGCCACAGGCCGGGCACCTCCTTGTGGACCTGACACACCATCCTGTTCTTACAAAAGGGCAACCACAGGTCCTGGTTGTGAGAGTAGGTCGTCTCAAGGCTCCGGAACACCTCATATACCTGCAAGCAATTAAAATATTTCTAATATTTTAAATATATATGAAGAGCTAAAACCCGTGTTGGTCATTCAGCACAAAAAAAGGTGCTGGAAGCTCGATCCTTGGTCCGTTATCAGTGCAGTGTTTTAGAGTTCGAAGGACCCACTGCAGCACATAGATGAAAATGCACTTGTTTTAACAAGCAGTACAGTAATCAGTAAAGCTTCTGATAAAGTATATAATATACTTTTTACTTTGAAATGTCCATAGCTAAAAATTAAAGGATCTCTTTTGAATTACTACAGAGTCTGGTATTGAAACATTAAAATTGCCGTTGAACATAACGAAAATAATAAAATGATAGTCTCTGGCCTACCTCTGTAATGGCTTTCTCTTGATCTGCAGTAATAAGTTCGCTCGGCGCAGCATCTAACAGAAGTTTAATCATCTTAGCCGTGACTACCGGGGTTGGGTACCACACGTAGTTGAAGTAGAAGAGAGCGAGGGCTAGGGCTAACACCAGCATTCCTCCAGAAATCACCGAAGCCGGTGACAGTGGGTCAATGTTTGCCAATCTATCTACTATCGCCGAATCAGGGAACAACTGAGATAGCAACGGACGTGGCTGCTGGTCTTTCCAGTCGTCAGCAGGCGAGCTGTAGTCCTGAGGCTGGGGATTAACAAAGCTGTTGCTGAAACCTTGCTGAGATTCTGGTCTGTTGTAACCTTGCTGAGATTCTGGTCTATTGGCTTGACTTGCGCTTTGACGTAGAGGTTGCGTGGGACGTTTGTAGTACATGTTATGGCTACTTTGAATCGACTGATTCATTTCTTCCAGTGAGTAACTTGAATCATTTGATGGCCAGTTTGGTTCCGAATGTTCATTATCTTTACTATTAATTATGTGATGCTGACCTCTGTCTGGTTTATTTTGATCACCTACTGGGCGATGATGGTACGTCAAGGGGTGATTTTGGTCTGGGCTGTGTTTTTCCTGTATTATTTCAAAGTGGCTGCTTGTTGAATGTGATTCATGTTCCTGTGGCAGTTGGTATGAATTTGGAAACTGATCGCCTTGCGAGAGATGTTTATCCCCAGAGGAAGAATTTGAGTGGCCACTTGCTACATTGTCGCCACTCCTATAAACCCCATGACTGTAGGATTCATATCCTGCTCTGTTTGCTGATAAATGTTCGTTTCTGTTATGAAATTGCCCAGGAGATGGTGAATTACCATTATAGTAATTGCGGTTGTCACTCAATTGTGCATATTGCAGGCCAGTGTTGCTGTTGCTGTTCACAGAAAGAAAGAGATGTTCAGCTGGAAAGTTTTGGTTGTTTTGATCAGATGACTGGCCGTTCAGATGTAACTGTTCGCTGTGAAAAGGATGGAAATCAATGGGCCTGTTTGTTTTCTTCCATGTTATAGTTTCCTGGTAATCTGGATGTGTGTAGGACAGGATGGGATAGAACTTGTGTACCACTTGCTTCCCAAGTTGCACAGTGTTTGGCTCCCCCTGGGTAATTGTGGGTTGTGTATGTGTGTCCCGTTTCTCGTTCAGGGGCCACCTGGGCACTCTGTCTATTATATTATTACCGTTTATGCTCGGAAATCTGGGTAAAGAAGGTAATTTAGGTAAATGAGAGTCAATGAAGGGTTCTAACTGTTTCATGAGACTCTGGTGCCAAGACAACGATAGTTCGGGCTTCTCAGTTTGATTAACTTGCTGGGGTGACCTAAGATATTCAGGCTGATAAAAAGTATAAGAGTCTTTCTCGTCCGCAGCTTCTTTGTTGGGCAGTCGATGGTCTGTATATCTGGAAACGCTAGGTAAATAGTGACTCTCGTTCTTGACGTGTGTATAGAGTCTTTCGGGGTGGAAAAGATGAGGTGATTCGGTGACGCCAGGGTGGCGGCCGTACTGAGGAGTAGGAGGAATCAGATATTTGGTCATTTCCATGGTTGTCATGGGTGTCCACTGGCTTGTGTCACTCACCAGGTCGTCAGGTATTTGAATGGGCATAATCTTCCAGGTGGTGGGGTCACTGATGGAGTCATCTTTTCCGTCTCCATAAAAATATGGATAATTCTTGGATTCCAAATATTCTGGATATGGCGGCTTCGGTGTGTAAGGCCGTGAGGAGGCGCGCCAAAACACATAAGGAAACTCCGTCTGCACAACGAGGTGGTCGGAGCCAGGTACTTTAGTGGGCTGACCGGGTCTTCTAGTGGACTGATCAAGTCTCCTGTTGGGATGACCTGGTCTTTTGGAGGAATGGCCAGGTCCTCTGTAGAGCTGACCATGTCCTCTTGGGGTCTGACTTCTCATATCTTCGTCAGCTATTGAGAGAGTTGTCATCAACAGCACCGTCCAGGCCAGAGGCCAGCAAGACTTCCTCTGAAGAATCATATCTGTCAAGAGGAATAATATTAAAATTTCTGAGTGATAACCATCACCTAAAGAGTTCCTAGTGTTAACTGACATAAGGTGTATCAGACAGTGTTTACATTTTTAATTATGGTTTCTCAAATGTGTGTGTGTGTGTGGTGTGTGTGTGTGTGGTGTGTGTGTGTGTGTGTGTGTGTGTGTGTGTATATACTCACCTAACTGTATGCACCTAATTGTGGTTGCAGGGGTCGAGACTCAGCTCCTAGCCCCGCCTCTTCACTGAACGCTTCTAGGTCCTCTCTCTCCCTGCTCCACGAGCTTTATCATACCTCTTTTTAAAGCTATGTATGGTTCCTGCCTCCACTACATCACTCGCCAGACTGTTCCACTTCCTGACCACTGAAGAAATGTTTCCTAACGTCCGTGTGACTCATCTGTGTCCCCTCTCTCTGGAACATCTCTATGTGGACCTTGTCTATTCCACGCAGTATTTTGTATGTCGTTATCATGTCTCCCCTAACCCTCCGTGTGTGTGTGTGTGTGTGTGTGTGTGTGTGTGTGTGTGTGTGTGTGTGTGTGTGTGTGTGTGGATGTATTACGAGAGCTATGGATGAACCTATTACACTTGTGATTAAAAGGAAGATGGATGCACAAACACTAAGGGGAAAAAAAGAGGTACCAGGAGAGTGCGAGTTTGAACGGGAAGGAGCTGAATGAAAATTATTTAAAAGAGAGTCTAAGGAGAGTTAATTGTTTTGGATGGCAAGTATGAGCTATAAATACAGTACAGTAGAAAGGTGTTTCTTGCAGAATGAAATTTGACCATAGACGACGCTTAGTTCTTAGTAGTACTTTACCAGAACGAAATGTCGTCCTTAATAAACGTTTTGTTCTGTTAATTCTACCACAAGAATAATTGTAAAATTGAATTAACAAACGTTAAGGAAAAAACTTTCCTTGGACAGCAAAATTAAGATGTTTGTTCTTCGTTTCAGGAATTGTGTTTTTAATTAAAAGTGGGATGTAAGAACCGGCTAATAGTCAGTAATTAAACACCAGTACGTGATATATATATATATGTATATATATATATATATATATATATATATATATATATATATATATATATATATATATATATATATATATATATATGTGTGTCGTGCCGAATAGGCAGAACTTGCGATCTTGGCTTAAATAGCAACGCTCATCTTGCCATATAGGACAAGTGAAAATTTGTGTATGCAATAATTTCGCCAAAATCATTCTGAACCTAACGAAAAAAATATATTTCACTGTGTTTGTTTAGTATTAAATTATTGTAAACAAATCTAAAATATATTTAGTTGGGTTAGGCTAAAATAAATTGTTCTTGTTATAATAAGGTTAGGTAAGTTTTCTAAGTTTCTTTTGGAGCAAAATTAAAAATTTTTACATTAACATAAATGAAAAAAATATATCTTTAAACGTATAAGAGAAAATTTTAGAAAGGACTTAATTTTAAATGAGTTCTTGCTAATTGACCAGTTTTACATATTCGGCACGACATATATATATATATATATATATATATATATATATATATATATATATATATATATATATATATATATATATGTATATATATATATATATATATATTATATATATATATATATAATATATATATATATATATATATATATATATATATATATATATATATATATATATATATATATATATATATATAGGGGGTGTGTGGACCAGGTGTTTACAGTGAAACATATAAGTGTGAACAGTATTTAGAAAAGGCTAAAGAGGTCTTTGTGGCATTTATGGATTTGGAAAAGGCGTATGACAGGGTGGATAGGGGGGCAATGTGGCAGATGTTGCAGGTGTATGGTGTAGGAGGTAGGTTACTGAAAGCAGTGAAGAGTTTTTACGAGGATAGTGAGGCTCAAGTTAGAGTATGTAGGAAAGAGGGAAGTTATTTCTCAGCAAAAGTAGGCCTTAGACAAGGATGTGTGATGTCACCGTGGTTGTTTAATATATTTATAGATGGGGTTGTAAGAGAAGTAAATGCGAGGGTCTTGGCAAGAGGTGTGGAGTTAAAAGATAAAGAATCACACATAAAGTGGGAGTTGTCACAGTTGCTCTTTGCTGATGACACTGTGCTCTTGGGAGATTCTGAAGAGAAGTTGCAGAGATTGGTGGATGAATTTGGTAGGGTGTGCAAAAGAAGAAAATTAAAAGTGAATACAGGAAAGAGTAAGGTTATGAGGATAACAAAAAGATCAGGTGATGAAAGATTGGATATCAGATTGAAGGGAGAGATTATGGAGGAGGTGAATGTATTCAGATATTTGGGAGTGGACGTGTCAGCGGATGGGTCTATGAAAGATGAGGTGAATCATAGAATTGATGAGGGGAAAAGGGTGAGTGGTGCACTTAGGAGTCTGTGGAGACAAAGAACTTTGTCCTTGGAGGCAAAGAGGGGAATGTATGAGAGTATAGTTTTACCAACGCTCTTATATGGGTGTGAAGCATGGGTGATGAATGTTGCAGAGAGAAGAAGGCTGGAGGCAGTGGAGATGTCATGTCTGAGGGCAATGTGTGGTGTGAATATAATGCAGGGAATTCGTAGTTTGGAAGTTAGGAGGAGGTGCGGGATTACCAAAACTGTTGTCCAGAGGGCTGAGGAAGGGTTATTGAGGTGGTTCGGACATGTAGAGAGAATGGAGCGATACAGAGTGACTTCAAGAATGTATTAGTCTGTAGTGGAAGGAAGGCGGGTAGGGGTCGGCCTAGGAAAGGTTGGAGGGAGGGGGTAAAGGAGGTTTTGTGTGCGAGGGTTGGACTTCCAGCAGGCATGCGTGAGCGTGTTTGATAGGAATGAATGGAGACAAATGGTTTTTAATACTTGACGTGCTGTTGGAGTGTGATCAAAGTAACATTTATGAAGGGGTTCAGGGAAACCGGCAGGCCGGACTTGAGTCCTGGAGATGGGAAGTACAGTGCCTGCACTCTGAAGGAGGGGTGTTAATGTTGCAGTTTAAAAACTGTAGTGTAAAGCACCCTTCTGGCAAGACAGTGATGGAGTGAATGATGGTGAAAGTTTCTCTTTTTCGGGCCACCCTGCCTTGGTGGGAATCGGCCAGTATGATAATATATATATATATATATATATATATATATTATATATATATATATATATATATATTATATATATATATATATATATCAGAGAGATGTTTTAAGAAGAAGAGAGAAGGGAGCCAAGTGTGTGTCTGCGTAATTTTGAGCAAAGTGAAAGAGTAATGAGATAATAATAATAATAATAATAATAATAATAATAATAATAATAATAATAATAATAATAATAATAATAAAATTTTGAAACAAATATTGTATCGTAATGCATATTTAGGTTTCCACTGACAAGACCACTGCAGTGGAACGCTCCATCACTGTCTTCATTACTGGGTCATGATGTCTGCTGCTTTGCTGTTACTATAGTTTTCACGCACATTAATGGCTGATTTCCGGCCAGACACGCCTCGGTGTCTTCCCCGACGCCCCATCCACTGCCACTACCAATAAAAGCAGCAACAAGAAACGTCTTTATAAAGAAAACTGATTTAATAAGGCTCGTAACTTTTCACGATTTGCTAAAGCTCAAGTCTTGATAAAGTAGCGATGCTTGAGAAGATGTTAAAGCCTCAAACTGTTACACAAAAAATGCAGCAGCATTTCTAAGGTGTGTGTGTGTGTGTGTGTGTGTGTGTGTGTGTGTGTGTGTGTGTGTGTGTGTGTGTGTGTGTGTGTACTCACCTAATTGTACTCACCTAATTGTGGTTGCAGGGGTCGAGACTCAGCTCCTGGCCCCGCCTCTTCACTGATCGCTACAGTGTGTGTGTGTGTGTGTGTGTGTGTGTGTGATTCAATTATAAAATATTTACTGTTAGCGAAAATTTTCACAGCAGATGTTCAATACAGCGAAAAATTAAATAGCTTATATAAAAGATATATTAAAGCATATATTGCGTGGTGACGGCGCTTGAACACTGGAGTCACTAGAGAGGAAACACGCTGGCAGGCAGAGGTCACCAATCCTATGTAATTTATATTATTATTTTATTGTGAAATGTATTAACTGTTCTGTCCTCTTTCCAGCTTCACGTCATCTTTGGATATTACCTCACTACCTCCCATTCCCTAGGTACCGTATAACCTATACGGGTTTACGCTTCGTTATTGACATGATAATAATTCCCACCTGTTGACGCTTCCGGGGGGTCGGTGTTCCCTTGTCCTGGTCTCAAGCCTCCTGGTTCTTAGCGTGATGAGTAGGACTATGAGTTCCAGCAGCACAGTCCCACGTGAGGGCCACAGTCAGACTGTTAAAGAACCGTCTGGAGCAACCCCGTCAAGTTTCCTTTGTCATTAATGGAGCCACCCACCTGAGGGAAGACCAGTCATGATATTCTCACCAGTATGACGACAGTTGGCTCGTCCATGAGAAAAAAGAAGATCACTAGTGTGTAGTTTTAGTAATAGCTGAATAACGGGACGGAGGGATGCGGTCACAACAACAAAAATTAAACAGAGTTACTTCTGGGTGAATGTGAGAGAATGATTGTGGCAGAGGGAAGAAAAAGGAAAACGTACTGAGGAGGGAAGAGAGAAGAGTCTGCCTTGGAGAGGGAAATATTTGGCGAAATCAGTGGCTTTTCATTTAGCTACAAAGCCATACTACTTATATTTTGTAACCATTTCTTAAAATAAGGAATTGTACTTCCGTTTGTATTTGTATTGTAATAATGGTCTAGGGTGTAAGAGAGGAAAAAGAAGAGAAAGAGAGGAGAAGTGACTAGGGAAAAAGGGTAGACGGGGAAGAGAAGTAGAAGAGATAAATATTGTTAAATTAAAGATTTACTTTATCCAATTGTTACTGATTCACCAACTTATTTGCACATTATGTTATTTCATCCTTA